CGAATTAATTCAGATTCAATTTGAGGATAAATTTCGTCACTTGTGCGACCAGCACATGTAACTAATATTCCATGTTTGGCGTAGTACTTTAGCAAAGGTTCAATTAGGGTGTGATGTTTTTGGAGGCGGATCTTGAAGGTTTCCTTTATATGGTAAATTGAAGGAATAAATTAAAAAGCGGTTTAAGACAATACAAGAAATCAGAACAGAGCAAAATTTACAGGATTATCATCTGGCCTTTTCATCAATTTTTCACCTGTTATATCGTCGTAACCAGCTCGCTTAGGAGGATTATAGCTGAGATTATAAACACGTCCAGAAGGCACGTGCACCCAACGATCTATATATATATATATATATAGATAGATATATATATATAATAATAAATACTTCAATTCTGATTTTCATGTTTTTTTAAGGTATAAATTGATAAAGTACCCATGATTCTTTTTAAAATAACATCCTCAGGTACATGAAGATTTATCACTAAATTTAATGGTTGCCCAGTTAATATTAGATTTTCATCTAATGCCATAGCTTGCTTGATTGTTCTTGGAAACCCATCCAGAAGCCAATTCTTTAAATATAACCAAATTCTAGTAAATATTAATTATCTATTTATGAATAGCAAAATAATGTTAACCAACCAACCTGTTGTTCAAAAGCACTAAGTTCGTTTTTGATAAGTTCAATCATTATATCATCAGAGACAAACGCTATAAGAGTAAGGCCGAAAAGAATCATGAAAATTATCAGATGTTGAATAATGTTTGATTTATCAAATTATCCCCGTATTGGTGTTAAGTCGTGCAAGGACTTGTTGTTCCAAAAGAAATTGTGAACTGTCTCTTGTTGGTAATTTTTACAGGGTCAAAAGTCAATCCATCAAACAATAAAGTTTGATTGTCATCTTTTGATACTTAAATTCTTAAAAATTGGGTATATGCAAAAATTACCTCCACGTGCCATTTGTTCTGCAGCAATTTTTCCGACCTTTGTCCCTCGAGCTATGTTTTGACGAAGAATATCACCACTCGATATTGTAGCACCTACATTAAAATTTTTCTGTATACGAGCGGATTGAGTTCCTTTGCCGGCGCCCTTTTCAATAATATCCGTATAATTCAGTATATTACGTGATAAAAGTTTATGTAACCTACGCGTGGACCCTTTTATAAACTCACCGGACTCCCTAGTAACAATATACGCATAGGCACACTATCATGAGTTGGTGAAGCTCTCTTCGTTGCAGCTGATTCGTGAAATCCTCTGTTTGATATGACTATTAAGTAGCGATTTAACAAGCTGGCTTGCTGAACATTGCGCCGTATAAAGGGTTGAAAAGGTTTTAGAATTTGCATACTATTTTATTTTGTTCGTTTATATATATATTATTAACTTATAAATTATAAATAGAAAGTGGCGTTTAAAAATATGCCAGCAGGGAAACTATTTTTCTCTTTAAGAACTTGGACCTTCCGCGTATTAATCTCAGGGAACAAAGTTAAAGGTCATAAAAGCTGTGCATACGTGTGAATTGAACTCAACAGGATCTCGTATTTATAATCATGGGATATGATCAATAAATTTCCTTATTGGTGGTCTTTGTCACACAAATCTCATTATGTAGTGGATACAGGTTTTTGTTAAACGTAATTAAAGTTCTTATTTTACTTTGAAATCTAGTCATACTCCGTTCAAGATTCCGAGATAAATGCAATCATTGATTATCCGATATTTATTTCCGCATTATAACAAACGTATTCTGCGTGAATAAATATCCCTATAAGTAAAATTTTTCAATTGTGAATCCCACGTTCCATATGATGACAATGATGCTTTTTATCACGTCATTGATTTTAACCATTCATTTGAAAAAAATGGATCCGGATTTTATGAAAACCACACCATTAAATAATTCCATCTTTCGATGACACCCCAACAGTAATAACAAAGGATATTTATTTATTTCTTTTTCGCTTTTATTTTTTTTTTTGGTTATTTAGTTTTTTTAGGTTCGGTTTATCACCACAACTTCGAATGCAATCAAATACAAATCTTTCTGGGATATTACACAAATTGAACATACCCAATTAGAGAATTTTCTTGTTAGTTTTTTTTGTAGCTTTAAAAAGAAACGACAGAAAATCATATGCACCTATCTCAATTCATAATTATTATTATGAAAAGAATCAGTTTTCACATTTGTATTTGACTGTTAAAATGATTACAGAATATGAATTTACACCAAGCAAATAAAAGTGATTTACTTATTTATAATGAAATAATCCAAATATCAAATTATAAAATCTTTTGAAAAATATAGCTTGTGTCTTTAGACGCCATGACATAGTTATATCAAATGATGTGCATTTTGCGTTCTAGGCCACACTCGAGGCTGAAGCACATATGCCGTGGTGTAGTGATCATGGCTGAAAGGCCACATATGAATTACTATACACCATAACCTGTGGCGGTGAGGCGCGTTCATATTTTTAACCGCTCACGAGATCAAGACATATAGCGATAATTGTATGCCATAACCTGCTGGCGTGATGCGCGTTCATATTTTTAGCCATGCCCGAAGTCAAGACATATATCAATATTTGTACGCCATGACCTGTTGGGATGATGGCCTTATTGCGAGTTTGACGGGTTGATTGCGTTTTACGCATCATTTGTGATGGCAGGTAATGCTATCGGGTATATTGTAAACATGTTATCTGGTATATTACATACATTCTATCTGGCATGCTATCAAATATGCAATCAGATAATGTAGTCTGGACATGCTATCAAATATGTCTGCGTAATTGCTATCGATTAATGCTATTGGGATGCTATCTGGACATGCTATTGAGTATGTTATCGAGTAAATGATATCTGGACACGCTATATACATGCTATCTAGTACGCTATCGAGTACATTATCTGGACATGCTGTCAAATATGCTATCAAATCGATTTCACTCATGTTTAGAGACATGTTATATCAAAGTATATCGACTAGTTGGCCCTAGCTCGACACATTAAAGTGTATCTCACGATCGATATTCCAGAATGCGGTTAAAATGGATTTGCTCGCGTCCAAGAAAAAATAAAAAATCTGTCCAGGTTTCGTCCAAGTAAAAAAAAAAGTTAACCTGGACGGATTCGGTATAGGAGAAAAAGGTTTATCTTTGTTTTAACTTGTTCTTATATACTTGTTATATTTCCGTCTAAGTTGTCTAGGTAAAAATAGAAATCTAGGGAAACTCTTTCCTATGGTACACCTATATACTCATGATATATACGATATGAAATAAACATACCTTTGAAATATACCTACCGATATATATGATATATGCTATATATACCCACCGATATATGCAACATATGTTATATATACTACCTCACGATACATATATGTATACCTATAAAAAAAAGAAAAGGGTAAACTCTTGTGATTTTATCTAGAAACCTGGACGGGCAATCTAAAACTCTTTCTTCCAGCTCAAAAACATTATTCAGCTATCTTTTTCCGTCCAGGAAATCCGTCCAAGAAAAATCCGTCCCGGAAAAACTAGACCCCTAAAAATCTAAAACAAACTACACTAGGACGCACCTTCTTTTGCCTCAGGTCCACTCCGCGCAATCTTCTCCGGCTTTTTCCACTGATAATGATCTTGAAATCTATACTTACCAGCATGAGTTTTGCACGCGCCAAATATAGATAATGTTAATTTACCACACTCTTTACATGGTACACGGGCGGGAGAATTCCAGTGAACTCTACATCCCTCTGGTCGATAGCAACCCTCGTTACAAACCTTACCAGTTCGGCGGATATAAAGGGCAACGATAAAATCTCATATCTATGTGAAATTCTATGTATTATATGCCTAACACTAATTACCTGAAATAATTAATTTTCATTTTGAACTTTTCTCTAACCAATAATATATTATTCGAGAAACATGAGTGAACCTACCAAGGGCCAAGATTTTCAAGAGAACATCGATCACGTGCTAGCAGAGGCGGGAGCACCGCCTTCTCAACCAGATAGCCCGGAAAACTCGGAAAATTTCGTGCCGGAGGAAGAAGAAAGTAACGGGAGATTCTATCACCGGGACCCTAAAGAGTATTGCTAAATATTTATATAAAATACGTGATGATAGTGTGAGACCAAGAGAATTTCTTGGCACAGATTCTGAGAATGGGATAGAGATGAATGGCAAGAACATTTGTTATATGAATTTATTAATGGTGATGACTAAAGATAATAGTTATAATTACTATATTGCAACACTTTATATTGCAACTATATGTTGTAACTTATTAAAAAATTTAATAAAGATTACAACTTTCTACAACTTGTCACAAGTCATAACTTATCATAACTTGTCATAACTTGCTGTAACTTGTCATAAATTATCATACCTTGCTGCAACTTATTATAATTTATTATAACTTGTTATAATTTATTATAACTTATTATAACTTATTATAACTTGTAATAACTTACTATAGCTTATTATAACTTATTGTAATTTGTGGCAACTTATTAAATTCATAAAATTTAAAATTAATTCAAGTTATTTTAAAAGTTCATAAACTAAATCTTATATATTATAATCTTTTTTATTACTATTATTATTATTATCTAATTCTATTTCTAATTTATTAATATTCTATTATGAAATATAGGTTGGTGCAAAAAGATTTGTACCTCAGATAAATATTAATAAATTATTTTTTCAAAATAAAATTTTAATTCTGTCTT